CAATGCTACTGAGACCTGCCAGGTCAGTTAAAATTTGAGAAATACTGAACTGAGACAGAAAGAAGAAAGGAAAAGGGTAAGGAAGGAAAAAGAGTTCTAAACTGTTCTAGACTCTGTATGGATTCATCCAATTAATCTCCACAGTAAACTCAGTGAAGTTGGCACAAGACCACAGTTGTAAAGCAATGCATAAAAACCTACTTTCTTTATTATCCAGGGGTGTTTACAGTGGTATTTATGACTGAAAATTGTTTTCCTTTCTGATACTCGCTAGCAGGCATGCAGGATTCTCTAGAAATCTCTGTGGGCAGCATGGTAACCTTGGTCTTTGACATTCCTCTCTTTATGACCTTCTATTCTTGGCAAAGAAGCAATTAACAGAGAAATCAGGCCAGATGCTCATCCTGGAATTATGGGGCAGAGGGTGGGTGCTGTTTTGAAAAACTGCCACTTCACAAAGAACAAATTTTCTAGCTCAGCTTTCTTTTCCTCCTAAACTGTGTCTTATCTTAAATTTCCATAAGGAAAGGGCAATCATATGTTTATGCACATAGATATACATGTATATGTGTGTATAATATACATACATATATATTACTGAACACATTGAATAGCTAAAAGGGGAAGACCTTGTCTATTATTCTTGGTAATTGTCCAAAATTAAAATAATCTCAGTAATCAAATCAAAATGAACTTCATGACATCATGGAGGGAGAAGCAGAGGGAAAGAGACCCAAACTGAAAATTTCAAATCAGATTTACCTACTTTTTAAAATTTTAGAAAGCTGTCACATTTTACGAGTTAATAAAAAGAAGCAAAAAGGAAGGAAGGAAAGAATAGAGGAAGGTAGGAAGAGATATTCCCAATGTTTGTTAATCCTGTATTTATTTTGACCATGGAATGTCGCATGCCCTGTGAGGATGTTTAGTCTCTTGGTCTCACACCTATGCCATAGTTTCTTCTATTTGACTGAAGTCATATACTATAGAATATATTCAGTTTAAGCAATTACCAGAATTCATTCTTTGAAGATTTGAAATCTTTCTTCTTATATACCACTGTATAATGATTATGAATAGAAAGTATATTTTATTACCTAGAATGATACTACTTTATAAAGTCTTGCCCTTGTTAGAATAGATACTATAGATATGATAGAAAGTCTATTTTTAATCTATTCATTTCTGCAATGCTGAGATTCACTTTAGTGCCCACGAGATTTTCAAATTATGTTGACTGATATATGATAAAAGGTACAAATACTTAACAATTTCCTCAGTTATCTTTAAATGATTTTATAAATACCTTGTCTGTTGCCATAAAGTAACCACAAGATGTATGCAAAAAGACTCAGCACCAAATCTTTTACATTTTTATTTCTATGATGATCTGTATGAGAATAGTCTCATGTAATACTTCCTAGATATGTAGTAAAACAAAAACCCATTGTGATTTCTATTTTGTGCACATCCTAAGTTTCACATTAAACTCATGAGCATCAACCACGATCATTGCTGACATCTCTGTATCAATGGACCCCTGAGATTTTATGCAAAGATCCAAAAACTTCACCCAGGGTATAATTAAATTAAGAAAGTCTGACTTTCCTCTGTGTTTACTAACTGAAGAACATAGTCTCTGAAAGCACAAATGAATGCCTGGCTAAGCAGTCATGCCCTGTTTTCACAATTTATCATTCTTTTTAATGGTTTTCTTTTAATCCCAAGGAAATACTCTGTCTCTTAATTTCACGAAAATATCCTTTACCTGCGAAAGTGGAAGAAAAATGGTAACACTTGCTTAAAATTAATTTCTTACTTTTCCCCCAGTGCAGTGTATTTAAAGAAGCAAAACTTATTGAATCAAGTTTAATGACATAATAAATTCTCCCTTTCCAACAGTGCTGTGGTCTAATTCACTAGTGCACTTTAAGCTTTTGCCTTTAGCATCTGATGGGTCATTAGTCTGTATGTAATCCAGCAACCCGGACTCCTTGGAGTCTAAACTCAATCAGCAAGCACCAAATCAGGACTTTCTAAAATGTGACTGGCAGGTCAAGTGTCCTCAGAAAGAGTGCCTGGGGCACCCCAGATGGAGAACAGGGCATGGCAAGCACCAAGCAAGGACAGGATTTGATGCCGACATTCATTAAAGACTTCATTCATTCCAACTCACTAAACAAGCATTCTTCAAGTGATTTGACTTCTACTTTTGATGTTTTGTAGAAGTAAGTCATGCAACAAAATCATTTGGTTTGTGCCAAAGGGTTTAACATACATGCCATCAAGTTGAACGTATTCCAGTCACATATTTGCCCCTAGAATATTTGCCTAATATGCAAAACAAAAATAAAGCAAAAACAAAACAGGCCACAGAATCATCATTAATTATCAGACTAATTGCTACCCATCAATTCCACATATGAAATACGCTTTCTGCTAAACTGGGCATATTGGCACACACTGGTAATCGTAACACTCAAGGGACTGAAGCAGGAGGATCACAAATTTGATGTCACACTGGGCTACATACAATCCCAAGGGCACCCTCCCATAGAAATATTCTGTGTCTGACACCTAGACCCCAACCAAGATAAATAAATAAACTCACTGCTGGGTCAAATTAATCTCTTTTTTCTGAAAGTATATTCTATTGCTGAAAAATAGAAACAGAACTACTACTAACAGTTTTTTGAATTTCATGTAAGATTTTGGAAAATAATTTTCCTACCATATTCAATGGCTGAAATAGCTAACCTATTCAGTCTATTTAGGTCAGCTATAGTGCTACATACATTTATTTATTCAAATGATGTTACACTCTAGAAATAGAGGTAAATTTTTCAGTCACTGCTATCAAGGTCTAAACAAGTAATTTTAAATAAATAACAATTTCAGATAAGCTTTGGCCTATGTCAGCATTAATATTGTTATCATCAGTATCTTAGGATATCCCTATGTTTTATATGATTTTAAGGAGCCAACATAAAACATACAAGATATGACACGAACTATAACTCAGTTCTGATACTATTCATGGAGAACTAACAAGGAGGAAAGTGTCCTTATCCCTCCCCCAACCTTCTAAAATGAGCTTTTCAATGTTCTAGAAAAAATGCTTTGCCTCACTTCATTATAGTGTCATCTTCCTAGAGGAACTTGGTAATAAGACTAGACTCAAGTGAATCAAATCACTTTCTTTAGAAACTTAGAAGCCAGCATCTAAAATTGATGGTTGGCCATGAAAGCACAAGAATAGAGGAGAGAGCAAAATAGCCTGAAAGCGAAGTGACTAGAGTTAGAAGCGGGAGAACAAAAGAAGCAAGAAAGGAAAAACAAAAAGAGAAGAGAAATTGAAGAGTGGGTTAGAGAAAGACCAAGTGAGAAGAGCATTAAACTACAGCACATATGCCTACATCCAGGAAACCAGCGTATTGAAAATAATCCAGAGCTGCCTTCAGAGAAAACTGGTTCCATCGAGTCACAGGTCCATGTAAATGAAGAAACCAAGTGACCGTGCAGTGTGGTTGGCAGCTTCTTAAATGATTCCCAACACTCATTAGATCCCAATATGCAGGTCCACACGTAATCTCTTCCCATTGAGTATGACCTCCTGATTCACTACTAATCAAAAGAACACAGAAACTTGGTGGACATCACTTCCAAGATAAAAGGCTCTGTCTTCAATCTTGCTTGCTGTGTGTGTGTGTGTGTGTGTGTGTGTGTGTGTGTGATCTTGTAGGAAGTCCTATGGAAAGACACACATGACCGAGAGCTGAGAGAGGCAATTAGCCAACAGCCACTGTGGAAATGGGACCCTCAGAGCAATAGTTCCTAAAGAACTCAATTCTCTAACAAAGGCAGGAGTGAGCTACAAGCTAATCTTTTCTCTGTTGGGCCTTCAGATGTGACCATGCTGTGGCTAATGCTTTCATTGTAATTTTGTGATAGTCCTTGAAATAGAAACATCTAAGCCATCTAGGAATTTCTGGCTAAGAGAAATTGTGAGGTAATAAATTTGTATTATAATCAAATTGCTAAGTTTTAGAATAATTTCTTACAAAACAGATAGCTAATTCACACGTTTAATATGAAAATGATCACTTTGACCAAAATTATTTCTAATTAGTGAATCATTAAGGCAAAATTAACGAATTTAGTAATAAAATTTGAAGTCCCAACTATGATGAAGACAAGGATGTAGTTTACATTAATTTTGAATTTTACCCCATGTTTCATGTAGAAATCTGGGTTTGAACACTAACTTAGGGACCAGCACCTATTAACAGTGAGATGTGGAAAGTCATTTAATCTTATGAAATGCAATCTTTATATTTAGAAAATGGAGCTAATAATTATCCATCTTTGTCAGAACTGTCATAGGATTGACTTGGGGCCAGGTAACTGAAATTACTTTGAACAACATAAAACTAGTCACAATATAAATACTAAGGAGACTACCAAAGTGTCACTCATGCAGTGTTTTCAAGATGTTCCTTAAATAGTATTTCTTCTTTTTATGAGACAAATTTTTTTCATACTTTTAAAATTAAAATTTTGTCTGTATTTAAAATGCTTTCTTCTTTTTTTCAAAATCTTATGCTTTATTATATCAACGTGTATCTTTAAATTGGCATTTAATGTAGACTGAAGATTTTGTCGAATAATTATTACATTTTGTTTTGACTTTAAAGGGCTATATCTTAATGAGATTTCCCAGAAACAGGGCCTGAGGTAGCAATTCTTATACAAGTGATTCACCAACGGAGTGTTCTCAGGAGCAGAAGGGAGAATGGGTAAAATGCTGACAAGTATATGAATTCAATTAAAAACAACCTACAATATACCTGAAATCCTAAGTCACAAATCACACCCCCACCGTAGGCCGACCTATGGGCAACGAGGCTCACATTTTGTAGCTTCTGCCTCTCTGCTTCCCAGTGGGTCACTGGTCAGAAGGAGGCACTTCAGAGACGCAGACAATGATACGATACACTTACCAGCCACACTCGTGGAGACAGGTATCAGCACTGCACAGAACTTGAACAGCACAACACAGCATCACCGTCTCCTGTAGGGTATAGATTTCTTGTCTTTTTATAGCATTTTATCATCATTTTTATAAAGACTTGATATGATACAGTTTTAACATGTGATCACATGTGTGCCACTTGTGTTAACTGAGGCAGCAGTAGCTGTTGCACTGTAGAAAAATAAAGGTTTGTCTCTAATCAGTGTTATAAAACTCCAGCAAAAATCAAATAGAAGAGAAAGAGGGTCATTGAGACTTCTTTTCTCCTAAGATATCACCATTCAGAAATACATATATATATAAAGCTTCCTAAACAAGGCTGAGCCTAGAGGGCATCCAAAGAGCCAGCTTCCCAACAAGTCAAGTGGGAGTAGGCTAGAGAAGGATGGGGGTGGGGCAGGAGCCAGTGGCCCAGATTTTTGAGAGAAGCAAAGGCAAAGGATGCCACGTCAGTGCACAGGAGAGCGAGGGAGAGAGTCAAGGGAAGAAACACTTGAGAGGAACAATGAAGACAGGGGGATATTTAAACAGTTTAGAATCAGGGGTGTCCTAACTTCATCTCCTGACAAAAAATATCCCTGATTTTTCCCATCAAGCTTTTCTTTGTTTCTCAAATCTGACATGGCCCACTTTTTTCCTTATAAATTGTTTACATTTGAAAAGCTCAATCATGAAACAGAAGATGGTAAAACTTCTGTTTATGCCATGGTTATTGCTAACACTTCAGCTTCAGCTTCCTGAGACATTATTGCTCTGGTTGCATTGGTAGAGAAATGGAGGGGGTAGAGGGGTACTTGTCAAAAGTGGGCTTTGAGTTCAGATGCCTAGAAGAAATTCTGAAACTTCAAAATGCTTTGCAGGTTTTATATATGAGCCTAACTGAGTGAGTAGAGTCTGTGGTTTATACACTACCCAGAGCTCGCTGGCTTCCCTCCTCTCAGCATGGATATATGATCACTGCCAACCTTCATTTATGTTTCTATCATTAACTAATTTTGGCTTTTTTAGTATATCTAAAAAAATTGGAGATTCTCATATAAAATATTCCAGTGCCAGTACTATTTCAAGCTAAATTCAGTCTCTTTCCATCATTCTCAAATATAAGTCATCACTTTTTAAAACTACTTCAACTAGGGAATGTTTATGTATGATAAAACTAAAATGTAAACTTAGGTTTAAGGTGATTGCCTAGCTTGCTTTCTATAACAAAATGTCTGTCGGTTTTTAAACTAATATTGAAACAGTATGTTAAATTCAGTTCTGACAGCATATAAAGGATACTGGCTTTCCCCAAAACATAAGCAAAGTCTTTTTTATGGGCTCATAAAGACAAGACTTAAGGAATATTTAAATAGTGGATAATTCATAGAACAGTATCTTTAGTCATTCAGCTAACAGAGAGGACAACCACAACTTACTCTTCTTAGATCTCTTCCTCTCAATTTTTTTTATATTCTTAGGAGGTGAAAGGTATTTAGAAAAGACCTAAATACATTTTTATTATTATTGAACTATCAAAGATGTGCTGTCCTCCGAGACTGCCTTCCCTTCCTCATTCTATGTATGCTAACCTACTTCAGAGAGAATGGCGAAATGAACCCAAAATGCCAACTTACTATTTGCATTATAAATGGAGACACAAAAGGATATTTTAAAACTTTTGGTTGATCTGGCATATCAAAGATTTCTTTCTAAGCTACTTCAGTGACTGCATTGAAGTAAACTGAAAGCAATAGCTTAAAAGTGGCTATAAAAAGTCATAAGAAAAACAGCTTGAAAAAAAAAAAAGAAAAACAGCTTATTTCCATGGAAATCTTCAGTTTACTCTCCAAACCCCACTTCTGAATTGCTTCTCTTTTTACCCTCTTCTCTTCACAAGACTCCCACAAGAAGGAGATCTGGAAATTTCTGAATTCAAGTGTTAAGATTGTTCTCACTGGACTACGATTCATTTTCCTTGCCTTGTCAAATTTGTACTCAAACTTCCAGCAAATAGCCTGATTATCATTTTTTTCTTCTATTGAATCAGCTTTTGCTCTTGGCAAGCATTTTGCTAAGCCTGACACTTTCTTCTGTTTTATAAAGTACCCCACAAAATTACAGTCATTAGAGCATCTACCTGAGAGTCCATGTATGTGAGGCTGATAATTTAAACAAGAAGTTACCAGATCTTAACAACCCTACAGCTCTTTTAACCTCCTCTCTTCAGTCTCCATAGATTTATCCTTTTTATTTTCTGTTTTCAAAATGAAGGCCAGGATCTCCTAAGTAATTCAGGAAAGTTGAAATGGGCCATGCATTTCAAAGATGTTAGGTATCCACTGAACACTTGGAGTCTTTCACCATCCTGAGACTCAGAGGAAGCTGAAATTGATGTGGCACTGGCAGCATCCATGAAAGAACCAATCCTTTTTAGCATTATCTTGGGGAATTGAAGGACATTTTATTGGCTGAAAGGATTAAGAAATGTAAAACGCTTAATACCGTACTGATCTATAATTTGTCTAAAGACAGTGTCTGTTTTGGTTTTTCTTTGAAGAGGCAAATATTTAATTTAAAAGAAGTTAAATATATAATACTCTGTTTTATAATTTTACCAACTTTTTTTAGTGTTACAATTTTGGTTAAAACACAATCTCAACTCCAGCTTTCCAAATACTTACTACTCCACATACCTCAAGCACAAGCAGAAAGAAAGAAGAAAAAATAGTAAACTATTTTCACAAATTCAGTAAAATGTTAACAATGAAATTCTAATAATATTGATCAAGGGAGCCATTATCATTAACATTTAATAACCCAAGACGTGTTAGGCGACAGGTGTATCTGTCTCTAATTAAGGTAAAGAATATAGTATACAATAATTCTAGCTACACAACCAAATTTGTTTGTTTTAAGATGGGTAGATTCTTCATTCCAGTTTGCGAAGTTACTATCTATATTTAAGCTAAAATGCAAAATTTGCCTCCTAGATAAGTTCAGGCTACTTAAAATGACATCAGATTGCTTAAGTGTTGTTTTTTAATAAATGAAACCTTGAAAAGACTTTCATGCATCTGTAACATAACACCTTGCTAACCTGAAGCCACAGTATGAATACTGACAGAATTTTGAATTCACTTACTATTTGTCTATCAATCTGCCAGCTTTTCCAAAGTATAAGTTCATAAAAATCATAGAAATTGTATTTTCTTGGGCTGTATAAAAGCTCAAATTATAATTGGCAGTGACTCATGCTAGAGGAAAGCTTTGGTAATGCTCTAGTATTGCCACATATTCCTGTGCCCATGTTAGAAACACCTCAGTATCTTTCCTTCTGCCACTACCTCCTACCAACTTCCTCCAGAGTTACGAGGCTCAAGGCCATGTTAGAATGAACACGCCTGCGTTTCACTTACACTTCTTTACAATATCGCCCTAAATCTCCTGAAAACATACCTCCCTTAAATCATCCATCTAAACTTTTGAGGGGAAATTGACCAACGATAAAAAGGAAACAAACAAAAATTTGTAATAATGCAAAAGAGACCAGAACCATGTTATGTGGACGAACTGTTCCAGTTTTAACTCAGCTGCATTACTGAAAATTATCCACTTCTCTGGTCACTCCCTGATGTCATTTGCTCTGGTTGAATATCATGAGCATTCTTCTGGTCCTTAAGAAATAGTTTTTGCAAGGAATAGTAAGACTTTATCACTACTATTAATATCTATTTGGCTAAATTGTTTAACAAGTTGTTAAAGTGAAAGAACCTAGCAGAAAAAAAATATAATATATTTTAAGGCAAATAACAAGAAGCAAGGTAAAACACTTGGATGACCAGGAAATGAAATTTTCCCAGAATTGTCTCTGTACTCATGGTTAAGATAAGAAATTTTAAAATATAAAATATAAAATACAAATTAGTATTTCTCTTAATGTCTGATATGAGACTGAAACACTGCCAAACACAAAAGTACACTCTAAAAAGTGAGTTGAAAGTATTTTACTTTTGAGAAAAATTTATCAGACTTCCTAATGAGTATAATTTAAAAGTTTACTTGATATAATTTCTTAAGGCTCAATATAAACCAGAAATTAAATGTTATTTATAAATCTTTATATTAAATAAGGTTTGTTCAGCAATACAGAGGTATTGAAAAATGTTGGTCTGTGAAGTTCTGTATATTTAAACATGGTAGGAGAAAAAAGAAAAACAGAAAAAGATTCACTCCTCACCATCCTTCCACCCAGGAAAGAAACATATGTTATAGATGGAGACATTTAATTAGATGAGTGTTCACAGACAAATGCTAAACTCTAGGAAATGTAACAAGGCAAGTCTGATTCTAACTATAAGCATTTTATTGTTCATTTCTAACACTGTCTAAAATAATTCTAGGTTAAAAGCAAAAGCAAAAACAAAAACTGCACTGTGGTACTAAAAATTTCAGAGATGAATAAAATCTAAAAGAGTCCTTGATGCTTTCAGTGTGCCTAACCAAAAACAGCCCCCACCCACCCAGGTGCCAACACACCGGAGTGGGTTTTCCTGTTATTCTGATGCATGCTTTTCTTCCCATATTAACAATAAAAGTTGGGTGTGCTATCTGCCTGCAGAAGTTCCTTCCTGAGCACAACTGTGTCTTATCTGTTGAGAAATTCTAACACCAGGTAGACAGTTGTTTATGTCAGAAAACATCTCTCTGAGGCAGATAACAGAGTGTTTTGAGAACCTTGATGAATGAGCAAATTCTCTGGGCAATTCCACAAAATATTGCTAATAGAAGGTGGCTTTTTCTCTGGAAAGATTACTATGCACTTCAGTGATGGACTTGTCTACAGGCAACATGACCTTGTTTTTAAAGCTCTCTCAACAATTGTCCACCCCATTTATTCCCTATGCAGTTTTCCTCTGTTTAGCTTCCACAATCTAGTCAAGAAAAACCAAAAAGACTGATGTTACCCTCTAAATACTTCATTCTTTCTCCTATTTTTCCACCCAGGGGTCATCCTAAGAATGTAATAAGATAAACCTGCTTGTTTGTTCTTGTTCTCTGC